GCAACAGGATCATCAAGGCTGAGATTTGTGAAGCTCTTTCATCATCAACACGAATTTGAGGTAAGGGGGGAGAATAATCGGTTAAATTTGGTAAATACATGATTAATCGGTTAAATTTGGTAAATACATGATTAATCGGTAGAAAGGGGGAAATCCCTATCCCCATAGATCCTTTGATGATTGATGTTGATTGCATGCTGATATTGTTGTGTTGTTTGATGTTTAACTCGTTTGCATGTGCTGAGAATATTGGGTTGAATGAGTTTGGGGTTTTCGAGTAGTTTCGGAGTTATGCCGGAAGTCGGTAATTTGAGCGGATGATGCGTTTTATCGGATAGAATCGGGAAATAGACCCGTAGTTCAGTTGTATTATGTTGTTGGTTGTGGGTTTCGATTTAATCGGGCGAAATCGGTGAGGGAGGCGATTCTGCAATGGAGAATTTTTCTGTGTGCGCAGGTATTCGCTGGGCGAATGGGGGCGAGCCTTCGCCGGGCGAACTAGCCAGCGAGTGCTGGCAGAAGCTTCTGTCTGGCTTCGCCAGAGGTTTTGCCAGGCGAATGGCAGCGACTGTTCGCTGCGGGGCCTCGCCGGGCGAATGCGCCAGCGAGCCCGACAACAGGTTGTGTTTTTGCTGCTGATTTTGTGTTGTTCCCTTGTGAACTTGGACCCTTGTTGGTCTTGTGAGATGAAAGGCTTGCTGGAGAGCTGAGGCAAGCGTATGTTGGTGGTTGTAGGGCTGTTTAGCCGGCGTTTATTTCAAGTGGCCTAATTCGTGGAGCACGCATTGTGTATGAACCGGTGTGGATGCGTACGTGAGATGTGTGCACCGTGGGTGTGCTGTGTGTGAGATGTAAGGATCAGTATGATCGTGGCGCCTTGAGTGCATTTTGTTGGTGTGTTGTGGTGAGTGGATCCGTGAGGATCGATACGCTTATTATGCGTTGCAATCGTGTGCTGTCATGTGATGTATTTGGGTCAGTAGGATCGACATGCCTTGTGTGCACGGTATGTGATAAGTTGTGTGGTGAATGGATCTGTGGGATCGACGCACTGTGTGTGCTTATTATGTAGGTACTTTATGATGTGAGAGGATCTGTGGGATCGGTACGCCTTGTGCGTCGTGTATATGTATATGTTGTGTAAAGGGTGGATCAATAGGATCGGTGTGCACTTGGTGTGCTAGATGTTTGATGCGTGTGAATATTGTGTGTGCTCCCAGTGGGGAGGGTGATGGCCATGTGTCCATCGATGATATTGTGTGTGCTCCCGGTGGGGAGGGCGATGGCCAAGTGCCCATCGTTGATATGTGCTCCTGTGAGGAGGGTTGACGGCCAAGTGCCCATCGTTGATATGTGCTCCTGTGAGGAGGGTTGATGTCCAAGTGTCCATCGTTGATATGTGCTCTTGTGTGGAGGGTTGATGGCTAGTTGCCCATCGTGATTGTGAGTCGGTACCCTATGTTAAGAGTGGTGTGAGTGCAATTGTTGCGTGATTGTATATTGTGGTTGACGGTGGGACCGTGAGTCCGGATGATATGTATATAAAAATAGTATTATTATTTATTTCTTCCTTTTATTTCATGTACTATTATACCATTATTATTTAATCGTGATTCTCACCCCTTTGTTGCTGTTATGGTTTGTGCTTCTTCGGAAGTACAGACAATCCAGGTGTTTAGCTAGCTGGATTGTGGTGTCTCCGTAGGACTGCTCTGATACGTAACACCGGGGTGTTTTTGGGTGTATTTACTTGTGTATTTTTTATATGTGTGCCCTCGTGGCGTATCTGACATTGTGCGAGATGTTTGATGTTGATCGGTGATGATGTTGTGTATTTTGGGCAGATGGTCGTTAATGTACATATGATGATGATGGATAGGGACGATGTATGTATATAATATTTTGTGTTATGACAGACCATATCTTTTTCCGCTGCAATTTTATTTGAAAAATTCAGTTAAATTAACTTGGAAAAAAGGTTTTGTGGAATTGTAGTGTGAAATGTGACATCCCGTTGTGGGAGATACTCTGATGTGTGTTTATTTAATTGTTTTATTTTATTTTGGGAAACGGGGTGTTACAAGTTGGCTCCCTCTACACCTCTAAAGCTCACAGTGTTATAAAAGATTTAGAATTTCTCTCGTCTTCTTAATCTCTTCTTATTAATCCCTCGTCAAGTCACGAATTTCCTTTTACGGTAGAATTTATGACTCTAATTATGAACATGATGGCTTCTCAAGTTATTTTTCTGGCACGCAACCTAGCTTACTTCGAAGTACCTTTCCCTCGTGGACTTTTTGGTGATATTGATGATGGAAACATGTAGTAGCATTATCTTGTTACTTTTATACTTTATTTGTTTGTTTGTTTTCCTTTTTGTTTTCTTTATGTAATTCTCTTTTTGTTTTCAAAAATATGAATGATGATTTTGTTTTATATGTGATTATCGGGTTTTATGTATAGTTTGTCCTTTTGTATTTTTTTTTTTAATAATATTAATGAGAGGAAATATACTCTCATAAGGAGTAGAATATACTTTCTTTATTCGTGGGTGTTGGGGGAGGAGGTTAATCACTCCAAATATTTTATTATCCTTTTTGTTTTTACCATCTTTGTGAGACACATTGTTACATCACAAGGTGGAGAATGTGATTTTATATGTTGTGCAAGTAACATTGTCGTTTTGATGTTGACAACTATCAAGTATGTTAATGACATTTGTTAAGCATGTTGATGACATCTGTCAAGAGGTTTTGATCATGACAAAACTTTTCAATAATTTCTGATGATGGCATTTAATTAAAAGAAATATCTCAAGCCTCATCAGTCAAAGATATCAATTTTAGTGCTAGACGTTGTTGAATCAAACAAAGAAACTTAAAGATTTGAATTTATGATCTTAAATACTTTAATTTGTGATCTTGAAGTTTGAAGGATTTAAGGTCTGAAAGTGTGAAATCTTGTATGATTTTATGCTTAGTTTTTTTTCTTAGTCTTGATTAGTTTATTGTAAAAGAGATAAGAGTAAGTCTTTAGATACTAAGACAATTGCACACACACAACGCTTTCAAACATCTTCTCTTTTGTTAAAATATCATAAAACCAATATGGAAAAGCGTTTGGTTCATTTGAACCTTGCTTAATCAATTAGGAAGATATTGTACATTTTCTAATCGATTAAGAGGCCCTTCTAATTGTTTAGAATCAAAGTGCAATGCCTCTCAATCGATGAAGGAGGTTAACAATCAATTAAGTGACGTAAAATTTCAAATTTTCCTATTTTAACTTGGTGAATTGATTAATATGTTCTACGGATTGTTTCTTTTTTGCGCCAATCTTTTTCTAAATAAAGAACGTTTCTTCTCATTTCAAAACACGTCAATTTTTGAATAGAAACTCTTCTATCATTTATTTCTCTTATTCTTTTAAAAATTTGTATTTTCATTAAATTTGTCTAAGTGTTAAAGAGAATGAAAAGTTCCTTTGGAGTGTTCATGTATTGATGTTGTGCTGAAAATATTTATTCAAGAGCTTGATCTCTTGTGACTTCTTTGTAAGAGTTGTAAAGGTTGCAAGTTTAACTTGTTAAAAGTTTGGGGGGAGGTTATTGAGTTGAACTTGTTAAAAAGCTCTGGTAAAGGTTATTGAGTTGAATTTGTGAAAAACTTTGATTTAGGTTTTGAATTAAGGTTGTGTAAAAGCTTTGTGTGTTTGTATAAGATTTTTTTGTTGATTTTGTGTAAAAGTTTAAGTCGTAGTGAAAGATATTTTGGGTTGATTATATGAAAAGTTTAAAGTTGATTTTAGTGGAAATTTCAAAAAAAAAAATTTTGAGACCGAAATAAATCAAGTGGTTAGATCGAATTAGTATAATTTTTTAATGTGATTTTCTTATTAATCATCTTTCTAATTCTTGTTATTTATTTATTTAGTTGTTTTCTTCTCTCTTCTATTATTCCATTGCTCCCTCCTTCTCTGTTTTCTAAGATAATTGATTTATAAATTAAAAAAGAGTTTTCACAAATATCAATTTTTAAAAATCGAAGATCACACTTCATCTCTCATTCTTGTATTACACATTTCAGTTTTATTAGAAAATATTTCAATACAGAAAGTTATCTTCTAAATCTGAAAAATGACAATATGTTCGAATGTTATCTTCTAAATGCATCTATTATCCTTTTGTTTAGTTGGCCTCACACATTAAAACATAAAAGAATGTGTTCGAAAAATAGCATTCAAAAGACACTTATATTCGAAAGTTAACTTCCAAATTAATTTCATTTCTCTCAGTTTTTTTCCTAAAAAAATATATATCTAGCTTATAACTTTGAGAAATGCAGAGATTCAGCTTAAAAAAAGGCAATTCTTGTAACATATATAACTTATTAACGTCTTGACTGTGAAAACCAATCATTTTCAAAAGTTTAAAAATGATACTTTTTATGCAAATAAATACATGTAGTGTAAAAAATTTCCTGTTATATAAATAATTTAAAATTTTTAATTTGACTTGACAGAATACATAATCGTTATTGATATGCATCATCTCTTTTCTCTTAAAGTTATAATTATAAAATATATAAATTAAATAAAATAAGTGTATTTTAAACAGAATTCAATTGGTATGCAAGGCACAAAAGAATTATTTTTTGGTAATATGATTTTGATTAAAGACTTTTTTTGTTGCAAGTAGAAAATGCTGCCTGAAGATAATACATTAGTTTTCTCTTAAATTAATAAAGCAGTGTGCATTCAACTTTTAAAGCTTTTGGCTGGGAAAAAACATGTTTAAGAAAGACAATCAAATGCATAAAAAATAATACATAGTACATGGTTGGACTATAAATGCTCCCCTTGATTCGCCAGAAACTGATAACAAACATTTTGTATTTTTTCTAACAACTAAACAAAGAAAAATATTGAATTAATGCTCAAAATTATACATGATAACTAACAAAATTGGCAAACGAAACTTGATTCACTAGACTAGACCGTCTTCATGAGATCTTTCGAGAAAGGTTCTTCATGCCACAGCCAATGCATTTGAGGATAACTGACTGTGTATCCGGATCTGGTTTGATAATAAACTTCACATCAAGAAGATCCCTTATGTTTCTAAGAGTTTCAATACCATATTGCGAAAGCTTTCCAACGCGAACCTTGGAAAAATCTTGAGGACATAAAGCACAAAGAAGAAATAGCATACCCTATATAAACCAGAAACATAGAAAAGAAAAATTAGATATCTCCCTTATACAAAATAGAAACAAATTTCATGGTATGCACAATCTTTCAAATAGTAACCTTTCTGCATACCAAATCAAACACATGTTGGTAATTGACAATGAAGTGCAAAATGACACAATCCAAATGTAGGTTACTCATATAAAGAAAAGAGTATTGTTTCAAGTTTGTGCCTACAAGGGTTTGATTGTGGTGTTTTTTAACAAAATATTGGGAAACTGGTATAAACTCTAATGCTTTGTAGTAGTTACTTTTGTTAAATTATTTGTTAACTAAGATTGTTATCAGAATCTATCTAGGTTAGTTAAGCGAGAACGGCAAGCAATAAAAATAATAAAAAGAAGCTTTGAGTTTCATATCACATAAATCCTAATTTTGTAGCCAAAACATGTTGGCTTAGCCGGTAAGTTGACTCATAGCACACAGGGGCATGGGTTCAACTCTCCTTGATGATGTAAGGACCTTGTTGGTGGGTGATTTGAAAGTATGTATGTCAACACTCTTTGAACTGTAAGGTCTGCCCTAACCCTGACAAACTCCTGTGAGGTCTGCCCTAACCCTAACGAGCTCCCAGAGGATCCAAATCATTTAAACTGTTGATTACAAAAACAAACAAAAAATACCTCTTTTGGCGAACGAGTTTGAACAGGCTCTGACTAAAACTAACTTTGAAGCATAAGTGGTTTTGAAAATAGATTTTTGAAGTTGAAAACCTTTTTTTAAAACCAGGCTTGGGGAAATTTTGGTTTGGTTTAGAAATTTAATTTATATTATTGATTTAAATTTGAATATGATTAGGTTTTATGAATTTCCAAAACATGCACACCCCTAAATGTGGTGTGTGCAACATCAAAAGGACAAAAAAGGGTAACCAGAGAAAGCCTTTTCAACTTGTTTGATAGCAGTATCTATCATTAGATAAACAAAGATTAAAGCAGGCTAAGCGTATCAACTTGCTAACCTGATATGTTGAATCTACCACTCCAGATTGACCTATCTCCTCTAGTAAAGAATTAGCAATCCCCTCGCCAATATCCTCTGGAGGCATCAGATCCTTTTTCACATCATCTGCAAGGCCGGAAGTATCTTCGTCCCTACCATGAGAAGCGGCAGTGTCGACAGAGATATAGCAACCAGAAGTAGTCTCTGCAACTAGTAAAATTCCATATCCGGGAGAGCTGTGCCAGCAAACAATCAGTTAAATACTCAAATTAAAAGGAATTATGGCTTTATGCAATATGATTTTCTTGGTTTCTATCAAATATACATTCAAAAAATCAAATGAAAACTCCAAAATATCTACAAAAAGAAAGAGATCATACTTTCCAGCCGGTGGACCCGTTCTATGATCGGTAAAAATGTGCACATCAGAAATTAGTGGATTGATGATTCCACGCGCAGCTCTAATCATACTAGTTTCAAATTGAGAAGATACTTTGGTTGAAAACGTAACTCCTCGTATCCTCTTAACAAATCCCTCATCGATCCAATTAACTGCCTGCTAGGAATAATATATAAGCTACCAAAATAAAATGAAACGAAGCATATAAAAATTCCAAAACTTACATTTAGGCTCTGAACAATAGGAAGTGACAGAATAACTTCACCACCACCATTAGGAGGCAGTCCACGGCTCTCTATTTTAAGACTCAAGGCTTTAAAGTCCACTCCAAAGCGCTCAAGTATGTGAAAAGCAGCGGACTTGAAGGTATCGACCGACGGGTCTTTAGAATCATTTGTAATCCCTGAAAAGAATAAATTCAACCTTTTCAACTCTCGATCAACATCAATAAAATATCTACTAAATGGCTTTTTGTTCTAGTTTTTTGAAGTTTTTGTATACTCTACACGTGTTTGGATTGATTTAGTCGAACTTAACATAACCACTTGTGAGACCTACTTGGGCAAGCCTATGGAAACGGTCCATAAGCTATACTACCAGCTTAGTTCCATAAACAAGTTATAGCTTATATTAAAGGAATTTCACTTTTTTTATTTTTGTTATAGAAATAGCTTATACATAAGCACTTAAATGATAAATGTTTAGTCTATAAGCGCTTAATTAAATTTAAACAAAAGTGTAGACAGAACCTTTGAGCGTAATGGTGAGGGGTTCCTTGGCAAACAGACACAAAACAACGAGCGGTTCAAGAAAATAACCAATGGATCGTGAAACACCACAATCGTGCGGACGATTTATCCTACCACCCATAATAGTTCCTGGCTCGTACTTCAATTTGGTGCCTGCCAAAACGAATCACAATAATTATAAAATTCCAATCGAAGTATAAACACAAAGAAAATTAAGAAATAAAAATGAATTACCGGTTTGGTTGATTACAACACGGCAGTCATCACAGACAGTTTCGAATAATCGCAAGAGTGAAATCTCGTGGCTGTGAAGACCAGACCATGTCTCGTGGGTGCGTATGTCTTCTATGATAATCGGAGTTGAAGAGAGTGTGGAGAGAAGCAGCCTCTGTCGGAAGCTTTGGCTTCCCTTAAGCCTCTTGTAGTTTTTTTCCGTTTTCACCATTCTGCCGTAAGCCAAGAGCAACAAAAGTGCCGCAAATTAATAAAAACCTAATTAAGTCTCCAAAACCCTAATTCTACCCACTATTCATAACCTCAATTCCTCTCCATGTTTCCACCAAAAACATGATTATACGATCAATGGCATATCTCAATAAATTCATGGTTTATTATAGGCGTTAAACTTGATGCACGTTTAAAATCCTATCAAAATCAATTCACAGTTTCACACAAGGAGATTAAAATGATTCCCACATAGAAGAAGAAACAATAAGAAGTGAGACGATTGAGAAGTAAGGATTAAACTCACTGGGACGAAGGAAGTCGCTGAGCAGAACTGGCCGGAGTGGAGTTGGTAGAAGATCAGAACTGGCCGGAGTGGAGTTGGTAGAAGATCAGAACGGGGCGGAGTGGAGCTGGTAGAAGAGCAGAGGAAGGTTATAGTGGCCGCGCGTAGGGGAGATGAAGTTGGGGGTTTAGGTTATTTTTGTTACAAATTAGGGTTTATGTTTGAGGGTAACGCATTGCAATTTTTTTTAAATGTCCTATATATCATTCATATTATATTAGTATAATAATATAACTGGCAAATAAAAATTAAATACAATCTCATGAATAGAATAAATAGTTGTGTGCATAAATGAAAATGTAAAAGTTCTAAATATCATAAAAAGAAATTACGTAATTTTATATAAATCTTCACTTTCATCATCAATTATTAGAATTTTTAAACTTATCCTTGAAGTAATTGTAGATAGTGTAATATATAGTTGTCCATAAGAGAAAATTGATTGGATTAGATACACTCCAACATGTTTGAGTGATTGACCTTGACTTTTATTGATAGTCATTGAGAATGAAATAATTGATGGAAATTGTCGAACTGAAATTTGAAAGGAAGTCTTTTATCTAAAGGAGTCACTGATAATCTTGGAATAAAAATTGTTTCACCAATTTTGCTACCAGATATAATTTTTCCTTCAAGAACATACCTTTCCTTTTTTGTAATTATCAACCGAGTGTCGTTGCACAATCCTAAAGACGGGTCTATGTTTCTCAAAGGCATGACCGGACTCCAACTTTTAATCTTAATTTGTGATTTGGAAGACCATGAGAAACAATGGTGTTTAGAAATTCATGAGTGCGCACATCATCTGGCATGGCAACACCTGATTTGGCATTACATGGAGAGTCATAACTCAAATAAGTTTTTTCTTCTACATGTATTAAATTTAACTTGTAGTCATTTATGGCATCCACAATTGCATTCTTAGGAGCCAATATAGCTCTATTATAAAAAATTTACGGATCACTCATGCTATACAATAGATTTAGATACGTGCTTTGAAGAATAGTTGAAAGTGGACCACCAAAGCTAATAATTGACAAATCTTGTGGTATCTAGAGTGTGATATCTTCATCATTTGCATCTTTGATACTTCCATCACCAATTCTCAAAATCCAATATGAAAAACTCTTTCTCTCTTCAGCGTCTGAATTTGTACCTCCGGTTAGAAGTCTCATATTAATGGTCAATGTAAGCACTTCACAAAAATTCCACGTGGAAGAAGAAATTATAGTAGAATGAACAACTTCTTGTCTTATTCCTTTATGTACAACAAGAAGAATCTGACGAAAATCTCCACCCAACACAACTATCTTTCCATCAAATGGATTATTTTTTGCTCTTAGTATATCCTTCAAAGTAGATCAACATCTTCAAAACAATGTATGTGCATCATAGGTGCTTCCCATATGATTAGCTTTGCACGACGTATTAAATTAGTTAAAAGGGTCTTTTAGAGTTATTTCACACGTCAAATATTCATCAATATTTAATGGGATTTTGAACCTCGAGTGTGAGGTTCTTCCACCGGAAATTAGCAATGCAGTTATCACACTTGATGATACTGTTAGGACAATCTCATCTTTCGACCTTAATGTTGCAGACATTGCTCTCCAAATATAAGTCTTGTTAGTTCCTCCATAACCATGAAAAAAACAAAAAAAAAACCCGACCTATTTTCTTCGACCCTTGTTATGATCCTATCATATATTCCCCTCTGTTTAGATATCATTGTTGACATCAATTTACGATGCTCATCAGCTAAAGTTTGTCTATCATAGTTTAATTCATCGTAAATCAATTGATTTTATCTCTCTGGTAACAATGTCTTGTCCGGCTGAGGCATGTCTGATTAATTTTCCAATCTATAATTACTGCTTTGCAACAAAATTTCAATTTCAGCCAAAGCATAACTCTTTAAATTGATCCAAAGTTAAAACCAAATATGTAAATTTTAGAAGAACTAATACGAAGACAATCAAAAGATCGTGAAGCTTGACTACCGTTCACTGTCGATTGACAACGTATGGAAGATTAAGTTCAGCAAATTTGAACTCAAGATGCAAACAGATATAAGGGCTCTGTGGAATATATATTTCTTTTTTGAAACAAAAGTTCCGCTCAAGTTAGAAGCGATAATTTCGAGATTAGTCGAAAATATTACGAATATGTTGAAGCGCCCACCTGAATATTGAAATACTGTTACATTTTATGTTGAAACGATCTATGTAATTCTAATTTTATTTTATGAATCTTAATTTTGATTTTAGAAAATTACATGTTTTTGGTTATGTTACTGATTTGTCTGTAACACAGATAAAATGAACTCAATATGTTTGCGTGTTGAACTCAATCTTCCATACGTTATAAATCAACGGTGAATGGTACTCAAGCTTCACAATCTTTCGATTGTCTCCGTAAGGTAAGAGATGGTGGATTTCGTATTTGATATCTTTGAGGGAGGTGAAATAGGTGATCTTAAATGTTCGCTCAGGTGTAGAGCTAGAGAAGGAGACATTTGCGACATACCAGTTGATGTTTATTTGTGACATTTGAGACATTTTCAGTTTGTGTGAAATATAACATAAGAGCACTTTAATTTATAAAAGCCATAGATTAATATGGACCACTCAAAACCTGGCATGCTGATTCTGGATATATATCTTCGATTCCACACCCTATTATCTTGTCCCAGAGATGCATCTCCGGAACTTCTCCTAAACCAGTTCCAAAACAGAACCTTTATAACAGAAGATTATTTTTTACAAAAGAACAAATATTATTATGGGAAAGATAAAAAAAATGGATTAAGACACAATGCGAACAAATATTGAATATATTATGCTTCATTTATATAGAGATACAATTATATACACTTATTTGTTCGGCTGAACAAGAAATTAAAACAAATCGAAATATTTGTCGCCAGCTAAATCTATGGGTGACACCCCCTTGAACTTTTGTGCATTTGATTCTTTTTCAATGTTGTTAAATTTTTTGAACTCTTGCATCCTCTCAATGAAATAATTCGGCTAAGTCTCCACTTTTGTGGTTGAATTAGTCATCCACTCTGGTGATGTGAGTGGTATAGAGCATCCTGGTTTCAAGTAAACTTGAACAAATGACTTAATTTTGAAAGTCGTCCAATACATATAATATGATCATTTGGATTTTGAGATGGGGTGTGCGTAGTGGGAAAAAGGTTTTCAAAAAATCATATCGTGTCAAATTAACACACACTCTCATCATATGCACATGTTATTAGGTGACCTATTTTAGAGAAATGCATTCATTTTTCCTCCGGTGTCGGACCACTAAGGCAAGGAACAAAAGACTCATAAACTTCATAGAATTTTTCTTTCTTTTTGTACAGTTGTATGTATGATTATTTATGCATCTTCAATTTTTGGATAAGTTGATGGCGGACAAGTGTATGATTATCTTCTCCTATACCGAGTAAAGCTAAAATTACTCGATAACCGCTATTATCCTCCCCCACATTAACGATCCGCTCGATATATTTATGCATAAAAATGGGCATCTCGTTGATGAATGGAATTCTTTGTGGAGGCAGTGGAGGAGGTGGTTTGCTAATGTGAGCTTCTTTGACAACACTTTTTTGAGATTTTGGAGTTGGTGAGTCAGGAAAAACTTTGTCAACGTGTTCAAAATATGAAAGAGACCTTGTAGTCGAATTTTCATTCGGTGTAGGCTTCATTTTCTTCAGAGCACCTTTTGTTTCTACCGGTTGAGAAGGAGGTTTCATGTCGGTGGCTTCCGGATAGGCGGTCTTCCTCAATTGTTCTTTGATGTGGAGTTTTATGTTGTCATCGGCTTTCAAAAATCTCTCTTGCATCACTTTCCATTCGGTTAAAATAGAGATATTTGATTTACCGCCATTCATGACACCATCATCATCAAACCTAAGTCTCTTCTAATGAGTGCAAACATCACCCATTCTTGTTGGGGTCACCAAGTTTCACTTTTTTAGCAATAACACAAACACATAGAAGACCATATGTTTTCACAATTGTGCATCCTCACTTTGCGCTATCGAAGCCTACATTACCAGCTTGTTTAGCCTCGTGAAAAATATAATTCATACTCGTCCAAGAAATTTTACCGGCCAACTGAGAATATAGAATGTTGTCTTTAAATTTGTGTTTCAAAACTCTGATGCTCCGGCCAAAGAAGTATGTATCTCATTATGCTGGTTTTGATTCATGTGATTCACTGAGTCCTAATCTCTACACAAATTGCATACTATTTTGCAACAAAATTTTCAAAGTAGCATGGACAGACTCAACTTTGTTAGTTGTTGTATTTTCAATGTGTCTAACATTATCAGCCCATGCACAAACAATTTTCTCCTTCACCTAGTCAAGAATTGTGCTTCAACATGTTTCAACAAATTTGGATATTTTTCCCACATTTTCCTGAAATGCATAACCGAAATATAATATAGTTCTTTTATGAAAGAATTTATTATACAATTCCATGCATCCATTATTTTTTTCACAAGCACACCCGTCTTCACCATTTTTCCATCTTCGGACTCTACTTGTTTCATCCATACAGCGGGTTTAACTCTACTTCTCACTTTCTTTCTTAAGTAATACCTATAAAGTAATGCATTAGAAGAAGGAAATACCTTTGCAACCGAATTCATCAAGGCAATATCGCGGTTGATAATAATCACTTTAGACATCTCACATTGATCTTTCAGCAGTGTCAGACACACCTCTAAGGCCCAAGAAATGCAAACCCAACAGAATATGTATTCTCAACTGAGATAACATCAATCATCTCCAATAATGGAAGTCTATATTTGTTGGTCTTGTAGGTTGAATCAAGTATGAGCACAGTAGGAAACGTGTTGAACAACTTTATGGAATAAAGATGAGTCTAAAATATATCTCTAACAGTAACTCCATACTCGCATGTTTTGTACCTAGACACGTAACTATTATCACCCAACAATTTCAAGAGTTGTTGCATTTCATTTATCTTCCTTAAGCACCTTGTTAGTTAGGTACCGAATATTATGCATTTGCTTGGTATTTGATATATTTTTGGATCTTTTTCATTTCAATGTTGCATTGCAAGTATATTTTTTGGTTGAATCAGATTCAATGTCATGTCAACAACATATCCATTTTCTTCCGGCATGAACCGACACACACTAGGATGGCCGACTAATTTTTCACACAAATCATGGTTATGAAAACCACATATCACATTAAATCTCTAATTTTTGTTTGCCAACATGTAACCACACACCTTAAACGGACACTTACATTTTATTAAACTGGTGTCGTCTCTTTTAAAATTTCAGAAATGAGTTCTATATTTTCCGCTTCTTTGCATGTCATTGACACAAAAACACAACTTTTATCATAACCATTATCGGACCTTTCGATAGCCACACCAAATTCAAGTATAAAAGCCTTCATACGTATCCACTGAAACATTTGATCACGAGATTCAAACTCTTACTCGTTTTTAAATTGGTTGCAAACATCTACGACTTTCACAACAGCACCCTTGACATTCGAAGAAACAACTTGTTTTAGGAAAATATTAGTGTGCACCATATCTAATAAAAACAATTAAAAAGAGAGTCCTAATTTGAGTCCTTCGAAAATACAAATACCACCGGTTTCTAAATCAAAACTACTTTTGCACTATTTTCTTTCACTAAAAAAGTCCATTTTGTTTACACTTGACAAAAAAATCAGAAACAAGAAAATTAGTTTAGAAAATTCAGAAAAAACAATAGTCACACTTGTTTAAAAATTTATCATGAAATCTAATACCTAAAACACATAAAACTTGCACCATCATGATTACTATATTTTGGTCGGTGCTAAATGTAACTAAAATGTACTAGTATGTTTTGATATTGCTACTAGAACTTGTCCAAAATCTGAAAAACAAAAAGAAATTAATAGTAAGTGTTGCCATCGGGATATATTTTGAGTATAAGACTGATACAATCCATTAGTTGATTATGAGGTTGTATATTTTAAATCCTGCATTCTTGATCAGTCACATATATTACAGAGTTACACAGACACCACTGTGCAGTACTTTTGAATCACAGATGAAATTTTAGGTTGGGCCATATCGCCGTTTAAATAAGAAGTGTCTCTTTGCTGGATCTTTCGGCTTGCTCTTGATCATTTGGCCTTTACGCCCATTACTGCATAGGGAAGAAAGCAATCACCATCAAAGAAGTATAGTTTGTATCTAAACAGCACGAGAGATAATATATCAGCACAAGGCACGCTTTATTGTATCAAATAAATAAAGAGGATAATGTACCTGTACTCCATATAAACCATCCCTTTGGCACCTGACATTGCACTCATCGATCCTTGAGAACGACGGGCACTCTTAAGAGCTAGTTCATCAGAATCTTCTTCTAGTTGCTCTAACCCAACTGCATCATCACCAGCATTCAATACCTGACAGGTGAATCACCAGTTAGTTCTCAATCAACAACTCAATTACAAGTCAACAGGTATTAAGATGGAAACCTTTCCAAGAAGTGCCAATTGATCCTCAAGATGATGATAGCTCAAGCGAGATCCTTCATCAGATGGAGGCAAGCTTGTAATTACCTGCCACGTGTTACAAAAAAAATATAATCATATATAGATTGAACCTTGACAAGATAGTTTTAGTGCGGCCAACAAACATTTTGAATTCTCAATCATGGAATTGGAATTTAGGATCACAGTTCCAGCAGGTTTTTAAAGCCATTGAGAGCACCCAAAGAAAGTTATTTTCCAGTAATATTTGGCACAAAGCATGGAAAGAGAAGAAAGTGGCCGTGTATTTAGTTGAGTCCAAATTGATACAAATCAAACTCACACGATAGCAATTAAAGAGAAATGAGATCAATGATGGAAAAACACAATATTGTTTCTGAAAGTAAAAGCAAAGTACAGAAGGATGAATATCACACTGTCCACAGAGCTGAGCTCCTACAGAAATCAATGTTCTCTGGCCTATAACCAACACCAATGTGATTTTTCCAAGATACCATTCTGGTAGAGCTAGGATAATTGCATAGAAAATACAGAAAAAATACAGAGAATAACAGTTTCTTCTGCTATTGAATGGTTATTCGGTCACAAAGGGGGACACTTTTCCCATTCTAGAACTGTCAAAACAGTTCACTAACAAATGAAAACACAATGAGTAACTAACACTTCACATCACTATTTATACACCTCTAACCCTTATAGAATAAACATGAAAAATAGGAAGCTTATACACCTCATTTAAAGCTCTGGCACATCCTCACTCACCCTCACACAGTATAACAGAATTCAACACACAGATGATCTACCCCTCCCAACCTCCTCTCCCTGCCACATCAGCATTCTATCCATTCCTCTGATCTTTCCTAACATGAATTCCTCGCCCATAGGCTTGGGCAGCTGATGTGATAGCTCTCCATTTAAGCACATGTTCTCATTTGAGATCCTAACACATACATTAGCTAGTTTCCTTTCTTTTTCTTCCATTTCCTTCAACAAACATAATGTCTTCCTAGAGTACTTCATTTAAAAAAAACAAGCAACTTGGTTATAGGAAACGTCACACACACCAAATAAAAACTTGTACTCATTCAGAAACACTTGCTGCTTGATTTCCAGTATATTTCAAGAGCAGAGCATTTTTTAAGTAGATTATGGCATTGCAACACAGCAATAACTAATTGAAATTGTTTTGCTCACTGGGATTAGTCCGACATACTCTAAATAATAAGACAAATCCAGCTAATACATTGACAACTTCGGGTCTAGTAAAATAAATGTACAAATTCATGTGAATCTTGTCTCAGAGGTAAATTACCACAAGTACAATAGGAGTGAACCCAAAATTAAAAGAAAATACCTTAAAGCTGTAACCCTGATCAATTAAAAATTGCTGCCTCTTAGTTGAGTAATACATCTCCTGCAAATGAAAGCGGCAAAACACACGACACCATAAATTCCTTGTATGACAGTTTAAGTATTATTTTGAAGTGACAACGTGATTCAATAATCCAATAATATATGGTCTGACATGAAATAAATTTATACCTGGGTATCTGTCGACACAAGGGAATAAAAAAATGCATTATACTCCTCTTTGCCACCTGCCATCCTATCCTGAAGCTTTCCCTGCCATTTAATTCATGAATTTGAATCAGATAGAGAGCCCACTGGCAAAAAGCATTACCGACAGACAACATAAATATCATGCAGCAGACTGCAGAGAACTTCCTACTTTCCACAACCAATAAATAGAATTTCAGAATTAATAAAATAAAATACGAAAACCTACTAAATGGAAATAATAATACTAATAACACAGAATTCAGAAACTGACTTTTGCCCTAAGAATACGACCAAGACGTTGAGCTTCTTGACGCCTTGAACCAGCATGTGAAGAGATCTGAATTATAACATTTGCTTCAGGAATATCGATCGAGTTGTCACCAACCTGAGAATAACAGAAACGGGGCAAGTGATTAGATATCAATTGTCACATTTTGTATTAAGATATTAACGTGAATTAGTTCACAATATCAATAGTATGAAAAAGAAGTACTGAGGCAGATAGCTAAAAAAAATACTACACATTATAGAACATTAGCTAACCTAATGAAACTAATAAGGATATATCTAACTTAAATAAGCCATCCTCAACAAGATGCTACACCAGTATGTGCTTTAACACATTCATGAAAAATCAAAAAGCAAACCAAATAGGCCTCAAAATATAACTAAAGAAAACATGAACACATACCTTGGAAAGAAAAACCGTATTTACGTCTTTGCTAGTTTTAAATGCATGTAGAATTTTTGTCCGCTCAACATGGCTGCACATAAAGCATATCAGAATTTATTGTGCAAAACAGAAAACCCCAAAACACAGCTTCAAAAGAGGTCAATTTATGTCCAAAGCACCTTGTAGCACCATATATCATTGGTTTGCGGAGTTTCATGGCATACTCAGTAAGAGCAAAAAGATTATCAGCAAACACTATAATTTTATCACCGCGTGCCCTTTCATGGTAATTTATGAGAAACTCACATGCTCGGAATTTATTTGGGTTCATCACATAAAGGGCCTGCACATGTAATGATTATCAATTAAGATGTGTGAAACCAAGCAAGTAAAGACTATCACATCACACAAAGGGCCCTGCGCATGTAAAGATCATCGATGAAGACGAATGAATTCAAGTAAGTGAACTAGGAAATTTTTTTGAGCAATCAAAATGTTTCATAATGATATTTCAGTTCTTTCAATAATGAAGGCAACCTAAATAGAAACTGCAAGCTCATCGAGAATAATGACCAATTGTTCAGGAAAAAAACTAGATTCCACAATTGACCCTTGTTATTTCTGCTAAAATGATTTACAGAATTCGCAAAGGTTTCACCTGTCTCTTCTTGGAGTTCTCTTTCTTTAGATACTCGGTAAAAAACTCTTTTGTCATTGGACACCATACTTCAGCACACTGTACATTTGCAATAAATCCACCTTTTACAAGATCTAACCAATTTGCCTCATACAGTTTGGGACCAATTAGGAAGTTCAGATCTGTAATTCGCTCGTCCTCTCTCACAAGTGTGGCTGCAAATTTAAAATTATTCACTCATATCAGAACAGGCTTTGGTCATTGTCGGGATATTATTAAACCAGTGCATAAAGGCATACCTGTGAGCCCAAGTTTGCAGTGAGATTTAGTGATACTGATGACTTTTCGAAACATATGGGCAGGAACCACATGTACCTGTTTACCATGCCATAATACTATGCATAAGAACCAAAAAAAGATTTCAGGCAAGAAGGATATAAACATTACTGTAAATCTTCATAATTACCTCGTCCATAAGCAGCAATCCCCATTCTCTGTTTCTTATTTCTTCAATGATCTTTTCTGATTCTTCAGACCGTTTACCCCCAAAAGCAACCATATTATACGTTGTCACAACAACTCCAGCATTACCACGGAATCTCTCTTTGCTATCAGATGTGAAACGACATATTTGTTCTTCTCGAATAGATGACCATAGTTTAAACTGAAAAGCCCACTGATCCACAGAGACAGCATTTGTTGCCAAACAAAGACAGCTCTTTTTTATCCGGCAAGCTGCTGAAACACCAACTAGGGACTTACCAGCACCGCAGGGTAGAACTATGATACCAGATCTTGCTCTACCTGAGGGGGCAAATGATAAACTTGCACTCTCAGAACAAGTACTTAATGTTACAATGTGCATTTACATGGTAGAGACATATCACTGTTGCTGAAGTCATTAGGAAAGGCCCAAAGCTCCACTATACCAGCAGTTGACAAAATAATTTAGATATAACTTACAGTACTAGCAGGCAAAGTTCTAAGTTCGTAACAACAACAAAATTAAGAGGATATTCTTTTGTAACAATAATGACAGAAATAAAAATAAATAAAAATAAAAAACAAGTAAATTCAATCAATTTTAAAAAAATTGATAGGTTCTCCAAATTTTACAAAGAAAGAGTGCAATGCCAGTGACACATGAGCTTGCAAAAGCTCCCAAACTTACCATTTCCAAACATTTTACTAAGGCTCTTCTCTTGATATGGTCGTGGTTGTGCCTGAGGCTTTAGTTCCATGTCAAGGTCTGGGTTCACCTGTAGCAATAAAAAATGTAGTGCAAAATGAGTCGTAGAGAAATAGTTTAAACTCCATGACCATAAACTTGCAAGATGATAACATCCTTAAATTTCTTTATTATAGAACACAGCCTGAGAAGGGCATTAAGTTCTCTTTTTTTGATAGAAATAATTCAAGTTAACAAAATTTTATGTAAATGTTTAATAAGGATAAAACTGTAAATAAAATAGTTTAAATGAAGGGTAAAATTGGAAGAAAAAGCTACACCAAAACCTTGTATCAACTTCATATATAGGTATATTTGCCTTTTCAAAAAGAAAGAAAAACTTTATGTATATGTATAGATATTTAAAAACAAAAACAGTTATTTGAATCCATAAAGAATGATACAATTGTAAATAAAATAATTTAAATAAAGGGCGAAATTGGAAGGAAAAATCTACACGAAAAGTTAGTATCACCTTTATATATAGGTATAGATAATCCTCAGAGATTTAAGCACCACAAGTATATAAAGCATTACTCACTGTATCATTTTTGAAGTCATACTCCTCCAACATAGGATAATTTAAGGCATTCGGCAAGCAACGTTGCTTTACATTTTCAACCTGTAAGCAAATCACAGAAATTTAAATAGAGAAGTTTGATGGAAAGCAATTCCAACTACTCTATTGTGATTTCTGACAGTAATCTGGTCAACTCTTTGAACCGCTTGTTGGATTTTCCCACAACATAAATATAACCTTCTAAGAAGCTTTTTATCATGAAACTCGAGGAATATTTTGGCACTATATTATTTAAGTATTGGTAATTCCACAATATAATCCATGCACCGCTGAATTGACCAAAAGTTTACCTAAAAAAGGAAAGAGGGATTGATATACATTTGGCGATATGTCATAGATGACAGTTGAAACATGTATGTACGATAGAAAGTTACTTAAATAATGAAACTTGTCATCTGGCATTTAAAAAGCACATGGAGAAACACTAGAGCTGCATCACAGAGAAGAATGCAACATTACAGAGTACATTAATTCAAATTAGTTTTTTCTTAAATTCAATAAATTAAATTTCTCCATTTTCTTGTTCTGGGACATGAATGACTCATTCAAACATCATCATTCTTTCATGACAAAAGATGGATCATTGATTCAACTTTGTGGTCTAAATGGAAAACAAATAGATTAAGGGCATTGCAGTTAAATATACTGCAATTTTTTTCCAAAAGCTCAAACCTAGACTACCTGAGCAGGATCAACTTCGAATGCATGAGTTTCTTTCTCTTCTGCAGCAGCTGCTACTTCTACTTCATTTAGCAACTCATCATGAGTGCCTTCAATTTCACCTGCTGCTTTGCTGATTGTAAATCTATCTCCATGTGAAGCCTAAATAAACAAACAAAAAAACAGCCATACGGGTTCTAAACTTCACTTGTATAGGGGATAAAGTATCAAGATAGTGCAAACTGCAAGACCAACTACAATATCCACGGTAGCGTAAGCAAATGCAATTCACACCCATAGTATAAATTTTAGTGGTAACTGAAAAAAAACCTATGAGAAACCAATTCGATACAACATGGTAACTCTTAGGTTTTTGGAATAGGTCTAACTCACTCTTACAAGCCAGTTGTGTAGGATTGAGTTACCTCAAACCTAAATTTTAAGATAGTCAAAATATTTCCATCAGGACACCCGCCAATATTATAATGAAGCAAGCCGAATACTAATAGCAATGGACATGGAGAGATGTAATGGAAAAAAATCCAAGTATCACGTCAAAAATAGATAGGTTTCAAAAGAGAATATAAAGATGAGGCACCATCGCCTAATGAGTTAGTTAGTTTTGTATGGTTGAGTTAGGCTCAACTCAAATTTTAAGAGTAACATTTTAAAAGCATAAAAATCAAACAGCATTAATCTAGGCCAATCCAATCATGCCCTGCATAGCTCGCAAGGAAATGCTGGGATTTGTAATTACTCAAAGAATATCTAATGATCATAGAAAAGGACATTTAGAAAAACGGTTGAACTAAGTTACTTAGCTACTCAAACATGTTAAATAGTATCCCACATACAAAGGATGTGACCACTAACCTCAGAAATGATCCTGGCTCGACATATAGCATCATCCCTGAGCAGTGTCTTTAATACCTGCAAAATTTGTTATGACAACAACCACATGAAATCTTACTATCAATGATTGGTAAGGAGTAAGGATAACAGAAGCCATGAAAATAGTTATAATCATCAATAATCACACACCTCTGGAAATGGAGATTCCACAAAGTAACGATTTTTCTTAAGAACAAGTTTCACTTTCCCATAATTCGCAGTAGAATCATGGATAAATTTAATCATCTCTTTAGGAAGCTTGGTCTTTGACAACTTGTTCAAAACCGATATAATTGTTTCAGTCTCTAAACCAACCGAAACCGCAGCATACAGCGAGTGCGGAGTAAGATTGTATTCGTGCATAGACTCGGGCCTATCCATCACCAAACATTATCATTACATTACCACTCTAATAATCTCATATAACAAACCACTACACAACAATATAAATCTTTTCTACCTGCAAACAGGCTCGGCGATGGCAATGAGAAAATCATAAGCTTGCTTGTACAAAGGAGAGAAAGTTTCGAGAAATATTCGGCCATTATCACAAGCCCAAAGAGGACGATTGGTATGATCCAGTTTCAACTCTAATTTGCTAAAATCCTTTGTTCTTCCTTCTAATTAATCATGTGATTAAATCGATTAAATCCTCAATTCCAAAAAAATCCAATAATCTAACCCTAACCACGTGATTAAACCTACAAATGAAATATTAATTAAAATTAAAATTAAAACTACCGTCTTCGTCGTATGCATCATCCTCATCGTCATCCTCTGCGAATCCTTTTCTTGAATCTTCCTATGAAAAAAAATGTGACAAACTAAAATCAATTAAAAAACAAAAGAAAAATCGATTGTGGATTATAGATTATAGATTATAAACTAACGAATTTAGATGAGGCTTTTGGCTTTTTGAAGGGTCTTCCTTTTTCACCTGCAAAAATGAAATTGAAAAAAATTATAATGATTATTCTGTAATTTATTCTTGATGTTGATGAATGAATTGGGGATATAGTTTATAGAACGAATGGTGATGTACCGTATCCCATGATTCTGATGAGTTAGATTAGGGTTTGGTGTTTCTATTTTGATTTTTCTTTGTATGTGAAGTTTAGTGGCGGTGAAGAATTGAGAGAGAGAATGAATGATAGGAAAAAATGCGCGAGTGAATATGCTTTATTTAAACATGATGGTGATTCTGTTGCTGATACTAGATACAAGTAGTAACTCCGGGAGGGAGGAAGATGACGGTGATTGTCCACGTCAATGCTATTTCAGTTATGGGCCGGCCCAATGACTTTGTTTTTAGACAATTTTTTAAGAGTTGGCGAATTTTCAAAAATGTTTTCCGTTTTCGGATATGTATTTTCGGATATGTATTTTCGGACGCATCTCTTATACACTTAACAAATATCACTTTGAGTAGCGCTTTATAAGTTGGATTATTTTTATTTCGGAGATGCATCTCTGAAATGCCTTATACCATTTACATTACTAGAGGCGACGGTTCATTCAACCATAAAAGTCCAGACTTTGTCGGATCATTTTATGGAAAGAATGTAAGAATTCGAGACATTTAACAATATTGAAAAAGAATTAAATGCACAAAAGTTTAAGGGGATATCACATATAGATTTAGCTGACGACATATGTTTTGATTTGGTTTAATTTTTTGTTTAACCGAATAAATAATCGTATGTAATTGTGTCTCAATATAAATGAAGTGTAATACATTCAACATTTGTTCATATTGTGTTTTAATGCATTGTTTATCTTTCTCATATCAACATTTGTTCTTTCGTAAATGAAAAAATAGGTTTTGTTTTAGGATTCTGTTTTGGAACTGGTTCAGAACAAGTTTTAGAGATGCATTTCCAGAACAAGATAATAGGGTGCGTCTCCGAAGATATATCTCCGGAAGTAGCTCGACAATTATTGAGTGATTCATATTGATCAATGGCTTATATAAATTAAGGTGCTCTTTTTTTTTATTTCACACAAACTGTAATTATCACAAATTAACATCTATTGGTATGTCGCAAAGGTCTCCTTCTCCAGCTCTACACCTGAGCGAATGTTTAAGCTCACTGATTTCACCTCCCTCGAAGATATCAAATACGAAATCCATTATCTCCTACTTTACGGAGATAATCAAAGGATTGTGAAGCTCGAGTACCATTCACCGTTGATTAACAACAACAGGAAGATTGAGTTCAACAAATTTAAGCTCAAGATGCAAGTAGATATAAAGGTTATGTGGATGCGTATTTCTGTTTCGAAATAAAAATTTCGTTCGAGTTAGAAGTGACGGTATCAAGATCGATCGAAGATATTGCAAAGATGTTGAAGCTTCCACTTGAATATTGAAGTGTAATATTGTATTTTATGCTAAAATCATCTATGTAATGCTTATTTTATGTTATGAATGTTAATTTCATTTTGGAAACTTATTTGGTTTCGACTCTTCTACTTATTTGTCTGTGTTATAGAAATGTATCTTTAGAAATATTTCAATGATGCATCTTCGGAATAAAGTAAACAAAAAAAAAGGCGTAAATCAAAATGGTTTTTGTTGAGTGTGTGTTAGGGTGCGTCCAGAGATGCATCTATAGAAACTAGGGACATTTTTGGAAATTTGTGTGGTGCCTAATAAACATATAGGATGCATTAAGAAATCCTTTTAAAGGGATCTTTCTAATATGCCCACTGTATCCCTACCCTCCAAAATAGAGGGTTTAACCAGCCACCCTCCAAATTAAACCTGACACTCCCACATTGACTGTTATTACCTGTATGTTCTTATTAAATTTTTTAGAAATTTTCTATTACGTTTATCAGAATTTTCAAAAAAATATTAGAATTTTCCGAAATTTCCCGTAAAAATCAATGATTTTTTGAAAAAATTTAAAGAAATACCAGAATTTTCGAGAAAAATAATTCCGAAAATTTTTGAAAATGGTATACAGTATCAAAATTTTCAAAATTTTCGATAAACTACGACATTTTTTAAAATTTCCAATAAATTACAATAATTTTTGAAATTTTTTGTAAACTACCGCACTTTTAAAAAAACTGATGAAAAATATTTATCAACAATTTAAAAATGAACCCTGGAAGTTTGGTTTGTTACTAAAAATTTTGAATGAATTATCAAAATTTTCGCTTGCATTTTTAACTCAAATTTGTCTATGAACAGTTTGAAAATTATGAAAATATGTGAGAGTGGTAGATTAAATCCTCTCTAAAATATTTTAGGAGAGAGAGAGAACTTACAAATTACAATTTTTACTATTTTCCAATAAAATTATAACACGTGTACTTAAGTATGGTTTAAGGAGTGAAATATGAAAAAATTATACTTGTTGTAATTTTTATTGAAAAAGAGTAAAAACTAAGTCTAACGACTGGTATCTAAAAGGTTGCTCATATACTTTAATATTAGATTATCTTAATTATTTACACTTTTAAAATTATTGATTTTAAAAATTATGTTTTTTATTTTAAGTAAATAAAATACGTGGAATAATAATTAAATATTTACGAAGGAAATTTGAAATGTGAGAGAAGGTAATTCAGGGAATTTTGTTTGCATTTTATATTAAAATTAAAATTATTGATTTTAAAAATTATATTTTTTATTTTAAGTAAATAAAATATGTGAAAAAATAATTAAATATTTGTTTAGGTTGTTTTTTGATCTCGTTTAAGAAAATAAAACTTGTTAAAAAAGGTGGTGGTGTTTTAGATCTAAAATTTGGAGAAAAGGGTTTCTTTCCTATGATATTTGTTAAGATCTCCATGTGCAATGAGAAAGAGGTGCAGTAATTATTACAAATTTTACAGTAATATTTGTATATTAAATTTGTTGTTTCTTATTGACTTGAAGAATATGAGACTTTGTTTTTAAACTCCTAACAACATTTATATGGACAAGGGACTAAAGTAATTTGACTAATGAAATAGTTTTAAGGGACTAGTTTGTAAAAAATTTTAAATAAAAAACTAAAGTAAAATATTAAATTAAATTAACGGACTTTGTAATTAATTATGTTTTTTAATTATTACTTTTAATCATTTAAAATATATATGGATGAAGTTGATTAAATGTATAATGCACATGATTTACACGTATATTTTACTAGTGTATTGACTATTGTAACAGTGTTTTTAAAATTAATTGATGTTATAAATTGTTAATTTTAAAATAAGCATATGCTGATTTAATATTTAAATTTCTTTTGCAAATTACTCGTTAAAAGGTGTTGTTGTTATGGACACAAACAGTTTGAGATACATATCAATGAGGAAGAAAATACAATTTAATTTTGAGAATATAAAAATGGTGCAAATTATAAATACAAATCTGCTTTAACAATTATTTATTCTAAAATGAGTAATTGTATATTAAATAGAAGATATGTTCCAAACAGAAATGACAAAGGTAATTTAAAAGGGAAGGAAAGAAAGTAGGATGATATTAATAATCACAAATTAACAAGTAATTTAAAAGGTTATTATACCGTGGGTCAGTTAAAAGAGGAGGAAAGCAAGATTATGAATGATATTATCAAATACAGTATGATATTAAAATTCGATAATTTTTTTTTCACCTTATGCATTTCAAACGCATTATATGAAATTCTACAAATGCTCATTGATATTAGTGATGTATCTTTTGACGCACTTAAAATTTATTGAACGTTGAAATATTTTGGAAATATATCTCCGGAACAATTTGGAGCATATATTGCGCCAAACTACTCTCCTCCCTCACACTTCTCAAACTCTTCTCTCAACATAAAATTTTAACTTCTTCACAACATCAAATTTCATCAAACAATGCTCAAAGGAACATCAAACATCGTCAATAACATCATTCAACATCATCAAAACCATAAATTTCAGATAAATTTAGAGTTTTTATGTAAATGTGTAGAAATTAATGATTATGGTTAGAAATGTGTAGAAATCGCATGTAACATAGTTTAAACTTAGTATATGACTTATTTGTTGGGTCAAAATGACAATTAGATCATGTTTTTTCAACTTGCATGAGCCACATTACGTCATTGTCGCGACCTATGAGTTGTAGAACTTTCTGGAGATACATATCTGAAATAGTTCAGTGTTTTATATCCTTTGGGAATTTCCGTATATACGTCTTTAGAACTCTTCAAAGGTAATAGTTTTATGGTGTTTCCGAAGGTGTATCTCTGAAATTAACACTATTGTTTTATGATCTTTTTAGTGATATATTTCTGGAATATCCTGCAGTTTGTTTTTCTTTTATTTTAATTTTCTTGTTTGTTTGTGTTGTCTTCGTGCACTAATGATATTCCTTAATTTACCTTACCAGCATTATGGCTGACATATTCGACAGACTGAGACATGGTCGGGTTGCCCAATAAGCATCTGTCAGGTGGGAGCGAAGCCAGCAGGTTCTAGAGGCAGCAGGTACTTCTGGTCAGGCATAGGCGTCGACTTTTGTGGCACAATCTACTTTTGGGGCTTGTCCTTTACCTCGAGTCACTCCACCTTCATCTCAGGTCATTCCATCTTTTTCTTCTTCCCATATGAAACAAGATTCACCAGCTGACGTGTCACTTCCCCCATCCTCTCGCAGGCGACAGGACTCACCAGTGTCACCTCTTGCTGATCCAGTGCCACCTCTCGTTGATGATCCTGCTGATCCAATGTCACATCCGGAAGGTGAGGTAATTAAGGATGTCGAGCCATGGGGATTTGGAGGAGGCCCATCTGATATATTCATACTTCCTTTGTATCAATACCACACTACCAGCTATATTTGGGACGAAGAGGTAACATTAGTTGGATTTTTGATTTATTTTTTACGTTAATTTAAATTGTTGACATTGATTATTTCTAACATTGTTTATTACTGACATTGATTATTTTTGGAAAATTTCAGGTGCGTGATCCACAAAAGTTTCTGAACCATGGGAGGAATATTATTGGCTTAGTTCAGTTGGACAAGGAGTGGTTTCAGTCGGTTCTGACCTTATCGGGTCGAAGGACCTATGCATGACTG